GAGATTCTATACTCATTAAATAAATCCCCATTCCCCTCTCCTCTACCTATCCCAGCCCCTGTTAAACACTATTCTACTTTGTTTCTCTAAGAATTTGCCTGTTCTAGGCTCTTCCTATACATGGAATTATACAATGTTTGTCTTTTTGTGTCTGGTTTATTTCATGGAGCATAATGTTTTCAGGGTTTATCCATATTGTAGCATGGATGAGAACTTAATATCTTTTTATGACTGAACAGAAATTCCGTAGTCTGTTTATACTGCATTCTTTTTATCCTTTCACCTGTTGATGGACTCTTGAGTTGTTTCTCCCTTTTGGCTATTGTGAATAATGCTGTTATGAACAATGGAGTGCATATCTCTATTCATGTCCATGCTTTTGATTCTTCAGAGTGTATACCTAGGACTGATACTGCTGAATCAGATAGTCTTTCTGTATTTAGCATTGTGAGAAAGCACCAAACTGTTTTCCATAGCAGTTGCACCATTTTACACTTCTATCAGAAAGGCACTGAATTTCCAGTTTATTCTCATTCTCACCAACACTTGTTATTTTTCAGTTTTGTTTTATAATAACTATCCTAATAGGTGTGAAGTCATATCTAATTGACACCTAGATATTCTTAAACACTTCCTGAGCCAGGGCACTCAAAATGACACTGGGAAGCTACTGTGGATCATCCATCCTTAGTTATTAGAAAGTTATTATCCACTACTAAATCTTCCCTCCCTTTAGCAGTGATTCTCAACTTTGGTTGCACATCAGAACCACTTAGGAGCTTTTAAAAATTCTGATATTCAGGCTGCAACCCAGACTAACTAAATCAGAGTCTTTGAGAGTCAGGTTCTAACATCAGCATTTTCTAAGGCTCTTCAGGTGATTTCCATATGCAGCCAACTTTGAGAGCCACTGTTTATAGAGACTACTCACTGGTCCCACATAGTTACATAACCTGTAGGCTGTAAACTCTGACAACCTATTGCTGAGCTTCACTGACAACCCCCATTTAACAACCAGGCTTTCAGCCCCCACTTGCTGTTCATATTACTAGCTAAATGTATCTATATTCTTGCTTATCTATTTATTGCTCTCTGTTTTGCTTATTTCTGCTGCTCTAAGGCTACAACAATGCCTAATGCAGGGCAGGTGTTTAGAAAGTACTGTTGAATGAATTAATGCATAAATCTACTCTTATTTCAAAGGACAGTCCTCAGAGAGTTAACAGTAGCTTTTATGTCTCATCCTTGGGTCTTCTCTTGTCTAGGTAAAACCTTTTCTATACCTGCAACCTGTCCAAAGACATTGAAGAATAAACCTCACCATTAAGAATTCACTGTCTTTTTCTCAGCAAGTAATTATGCACTTCCTATATACTTCATCTACCTTTACACTGCACATACCATAGGTTAGACACTGTGCCAGGTACTAGGAATTGTGGTGAAAAAGATAACCAAAAGTCAGTCTATGGAGGTAGGGCACAGACAATAATAACAGAAGTTATTATTCTGGATAACAATAAAGGTTATAAAGAAAATGAAAAATGTTTGAGTGTGGCACATTAAATGGTAGTGAACTTTAATCTGAGACCTGAATACTAAGAAGAAGCATTCCAGGAAGAAGGCATAAGTTTAGAGACCTAGAGAGGGGAACAAGTTTCACAGGGATTCTGAGTCAAAACCTCCAAGAAGGACAAGGCAAAAAGCGTTGTTACCTCCTTTACTAGACACTTTGCCTCGATTAACATGGCCTAAATCGAAATAGTTTGGGGTGGGCTAAACAGCCTACTGAAGTCTTTCCTCATTGAGTTAAATCTCACCTGTCTGTGATTTGTAGCAGCAATAGTTGGAGTTTAGGTGCAGAAGGGTGATTTAGATGGACATAACCTAAAATTTCCTTTCATCTGAATCCAGCCATAAGGACTTCAGTGAAGCAACAAAGCTACTTGTGAGCTGAGTGGAAATTTCTGATTCCTTATTCCAGTTGTCATCTTGTCTTCTATGCCAGGCTTAACAAAAGAGGTTTCTGACAAAGCCAGAGCCCAGACTTGGAGGGCTGGTACCATTTCAAACTAGCAAGTATCTTGGTTTTCAATCAAAAGAGCTCAGTGAAGATAGATCTTTCTTGTTGTTTGGACCTGAGTGCCCAGTTCAGTTCAGTTCAGTTGCTCAGTCATGTCTGACTCTTTGCAACCCCATGGACTGCAGCACACCAGGCCTCCCTGTCCACCATCAACTGCCTGAGTTTACTCAAACTCATGTGCACTGAGTCTGTGATGCCATCCAACCATCTCATCCTCTGTCGTCCCCTTCTCCTCCTGCCTTCAATCTTTCCCAGCATCAGGGTCTTTTCAAATGACATCAGTTCACATCAGGTGGCCAAAGTATTGGAGATTCAGCTTCAGCATCAGTCCTTCCAATGAATATTCAGGACTGATTTCTTTTAGGATGGACTGGTTGGATCTCCTTGCTGTTTAAGGGACTCTCAAGAGTCTTCTCCAACATCATGGTTCAAAAGCATCAATTCTTGGGCTCTCAGCTTTCTCTATAGTCCAACTCTCACATCCATACATGACTACTGGAAAAACCATAGCTTTCACTAGATGGACCTTTTGTTGGCAAAGTAATGTCTCTGATTTTTAATATGCTGTCTAGGTTGGTCATAACTTTTCTTCCAAGGAGCAAGCGTCTTTCAATTTCATGGCTGCAGTCACCATCTGCAGTGATTCTGGAGCCCCAAAAAATAAAGTCTCTCACTGTTTCCATTGTTTCCCCATCTATTGCCATGAAGTATTGGGACCAGATGCCATGATCTTAGTTTACTGGATGTTGAGTTTTAAGCCAACTTTTTCACTCTCCTCTTTCACTTTCATCAAGAGACT